CAGTATTGAGACAAGTCCAATGTGTTTGGTAGTTGCAGCAATTGGTACTCCCTCCGTAAAGAAATATAGGAGCGTTTAGAGCATAAACTATGCCATCACCCAGTATTAGGATGGATCAATCCAAAATGCTCCAGATCTGACATATCTAAGTAACTGTTCCTCAAACAGGAGAATCATACTTTAATTTAGTGTGGTTCTCCAATATCATTACAAAAGGAGGAACACTTTCAAGGTATTTATGAGAACCACAGTTTTTTCACAGTATTGAGACAAGTCCAATGTGTTTGGTAGTTGCAGGAATTAGTACTCCCTCCGTAAAGAAATATATAGTGATCTAAACGCTCTTATATTTCTTTACAGAGGGAGTATAGTGTTATGTCTAAAAGTGTAGCTAAGATAACAATCTGTTGTTTAAAAGCCCATGTTCCACAACAATATCTACATTCAAGTTTTAAGTTTCCATAATAACTTCAATATCGATAAAGGTCTGTACACAAAACCGAGCGCATAAGTTATCATACAGTTAGTTGTACCCACATACTTTTTCGAGTTAAATATAATAAATATATCTAACACAGGGAATATGATATGCTTCCTTTTCCTGTGCTTTAGGTTTATTTATGAAGAAAAAAGAACATAAAACTGAAGTGGATGCAAACATGACCATCAAGAGATGTACTGGACTTTGGAGGCTTAACTTCAGTTTTTTTAAAAGCTATTCAGCACACTTCAAAAATCATTAAATATCATTAGTATTTACAATGCTATGATTTCGTAAACCTCTGGAATTTGTTAATAACATATATCTCTGGAAGCCATAGTACCCACGAACTCCAAAAATACTACATATCAAAATTGGATTCAAACACTATTCTCGGTGAGTCTTAGCTTACCATCCCCAGTTAGAATAAAACTGTTTAGGCCTTTAGCTTAATACGACAAGAGCTAAGCCAGGGAACCCATTTTACGAAAACATGGCAAGTCTAATGTGAATTGTGAAATTCATTATACATGTCTGACCCGTATCTGTCCACACAATAGCTCTTACTGTGTAGTCACCAGAAGCCAACTACATATAGGAGCATAAACTATGCCATCATCCAATATTAGGATGGGCCAATCCAAAATGCTCCAGATATGAGATATCTAAGTAACTGTTCCTTAAATAAGCTAATCACTCTTTCATTTAATGTGATTCTCCAAGTATCATTTAAAAAGGAGGAACACATTCAAGATATTTAAGATTGTAACAAACATCTGATTGAACTATATAAGTATAAGGCCCATCAGTTTATTCAGGTTTACCAACAAACTTCTATTATTATGCGTGGAAATAAAACTTTCATTGATACAAGGACCTAGCGAAAATCATCTCATCAAGCTGCAATAGGAACAAGTACTTACAGCTGAACTGCATTTCAAAATGGGCAAAGTTTGAGTGATTTGAACCTATGATCTGATGGCAGTGATTGTCTGAGAACAAGCAATGTCATTCAATCAACCAATCATAGTGCATATCTTCTTATGACACCTTTCGTCAATGATAATCCCTCAAAATATAACTAAACTTACCGATCTAACAGAACCCAGTTCGTGCAAAATAGATCATCTTATTAACATAATCAGTACCATTCGAACACAATGCAGGTTGATACCCACATGACTGCATTGAATACTGACCAGAAACACAGAGAAATAACGCAACCCCCCAGTTTATCACTATCCATTAGAGAATGCAAATCTCAACGTGTGATCAGTGGTCAGGATATATAAACCAAGTTGCACGCGCAACTTTGGAGGACGGCGAGAGCCTGTATCTAACCTCTGTAGCCATAGACGGTGGCGCCGGAGACGAAGGCGCCGATGGCCCCGTTGACGAAGTCGCGCTTCTTGCGCTGGCTCTGCACAATCTGCTCCACGCCGATGTAGAGCCCTCCGACGGCGGCGAAAGTGACCCCGTAGCTGCCGCACATCTTGAGCGTCCGGACGAGGCCCGGGAGCGCGACGTGGCGCTCCACCCGGGGCACGTCGTACCAGGTGGCGACGATGGTGCCCCAGATGGTGCCCGCGGCCAGGCCCGTCACGGCGCCCTTCACCGTCTTCGTCGCCGGCGAGTCATCCTCCATCGCGCCCTTTCCCACTCCCTGCGAGAGCAACATGAAAAAATTAACGCCCGCTCGAGCTCGTGAGCCGAGGAACCCTAGCGCGAGATCGAGATCTGGCAGAAGGAGAGCGCGGTCTGCTCGATTTGATAGGAGGCCCGAGCGACGCGAGCTGCGGGCGTCCCGGTCTGAGAGGTGCGCGTAGTGGGGAGGGAGGGCTGGGGCTTACCTGCGCAGCGTGTGCCGGCGGCCGCGTGCCGAGGCGGATGCGGAGAAATGGTTGGGATTTCTCGGGCGGAAGGGAGGAGGAGTTGTGGGGTGGAAACGGGAGAGGGGATCGCGTCGTGGGACGGTGGGAGTGCGGGTGAGAGAGAGAGTGAGACGGGCGCAGTGGCCGCCTCGGATCGGCGATGCTCGCTCGCCCGCGCCGTTCGCGTCAGGGTTTAGGCCCGGTCGCTAGGCCCACCATTTCACCATGTACGACACCTCTCATGGGCTTCCAAAGCCCTGTTTGGATTAAAAAAATTGTTTCTTTAGATCTCCGGTTCCAAAATTCGAATTTAAACCAAGTACTGAGACTATCTCGAGAAATGTCTCCTGTCTTTTTTTTTGCATGGTATACGTGTCTCGCTTATAACATAAGGATCATAATACAAATCATGTACATACCGACCTGACAAAACTGAACAAATAACAGAACGCTAGTCTTTGCATAAAGGAACAACAACCAAGAAGTAAAATTACAAACAAGACCGGAGAAACCTCTGAGCTTGACACCAACACCCGTCACCTGCCTTTGGCACCACCAAAGCAGTCATCAAAGGGAATAATGACAGATCACCTCCATACCCGGGGTCGACGCGGCTCCATCGCTGATAAACGGCTTTGCAGACCTCCAAGGTGGCTCGCCAAAGACAAAACCATTACCGTTGAACGAATCAGACCGGGGCAACACCCCGGATACGTCATCGAACTCCAGATCCGGCATCCCCACATGACTAAGACGTCAGAGGAGGAAACCATACCTGTCATCCTTGTACCATGAACCCAGCACATGATCCACCATCTTTCAGATGTCGTCGATGCAGACCACAATCTGCATCCACTCCTGGACTACCTCCCAATCTTTGCGCCAGTGCTAGAGTGGACGTCGTCGCAACGGCGAAGCCTGAGGACATAGGTCCACCACAAGGATGTCGTCGCCGCCACATTATCCTTGCTTGAACATGCTGAATTCCAGATCCATCCCCAACCATAGGACCAATCGCCTCATCGGAGTAGGATCTGAAGAAATTTTATTCAGCGCCACTATCGCCGTCGCCGAAGCCAAGACAATGAACAACCTAAAAAACTAAGCTACTTTGGTCTGAAACTATCCACACGCGTGAATCCGGCGACCCCCCTCACCACCGACAAACCAAGGTCATCGGCGGAGGGGAGCCGCCGAAGGACGGCCGCAGAGGTGATGACAAAGCTATATGACCTATCTGAATCTAGATCAAACAGCTTTGTCACAAATTACTTTCTCGGCAAATTGTGGAGCGAAAAGTGGGCCCTCAAGTCTAATCTGTTGATCCCCATTTAGGCACAATCCCATAATTGAAATTAACTTGATGGTGGAATAAAAATGAGCCTTCAAACTTTCATTCTCATCTGGCCTACGTAGAAGTATTGGCGAGGTGTTCTGAATGCGGGCTTCACTTCCTCTTGAGGCATGATTTGAGGAGCAATTGAACAAAGAAAATAATTATATGTGGCGTTGTTGTTGCGTTCATTCTGTAGAGCATATGATGTAGTTGACCATCTCCCTTTAGTAGCACTAGCAAAAAAAGCCCGTGCGTTGAAACGGGAAAAATATACCCAACATCCCTAACAGAATAATCGTGACTGAAGACATCAATGGGTCCATGTGCATCCCATCTATGTTGTCTCTTACCCTCCTTCCCACCCTTGTTGACAGCGGCCTCGGTGCTCATAATCGCAACTCGCTTGAATGTGGCCAGTTCTAAGGTGTTTCTCTTCATATTGATCATGATCAACTACATGATCATGATCACAACCTGTTATGTGTCTTCATATTGGTCCTGGTTGTGCGTAGGTGTGATTTTGTTTTGTTTTCTACTATGTTTCCCAACAACATCGCATCACGGCGTTGAATCGGTCCGGTAGCGTGTACCCTTGTGGTGTTGAAGCCGACGTCCGTGCTCCTCTTATAGTATATCTCGCCATAGGGGGTTATCGGAGGTGAACATTGGTTCTGCCCTCCTCCGTCATCAAGCGGCCCCGATGTTGGTCGATGGCTTCCCTGAGGGTGGGGCACAAGGTGGAGAGTAGCGACACCGGTATGTCGCTGAAGCTTATCTACGAGCTTATCGGCATGCATGTGTGATACATCTCAGACATATCTATCTTTTTTTATTGTTTAATGCTATTATATTATCACTTTTATATGATTTTTATATTAATTTATATTATTTTTCTAGACTAACCTATTAATTTAGTGCCCAGTGCTAGTTTGTATTTTTTGCTTGTTTTTTGGTTTCGCAGAAAAGCAATATCTAGGAAGGTCCAAGAAGTACGATGCCGACTTTTGACGATTTTTCTAGAAAACGAAGGACCCTAGAAGCTTTGGGATACCACGAGAGGACCCACAAGCCAGCCACAAGGGCAGGTGGCATGACCAGGGGGTGATCGCGCCATCTAGGCTTGTGGGCCCCCCCTGCTACTCCATTTGACCTAATTCCTCCACCTATAAATTCCATAATTCCTGAAACCCTGAGAGAGACAGATGAGAGAATTTTATCGCTGTCGTAAGCCTCTATACCGAAACGATCCCATTTGGAACCCTATTTCGGTGCTCTGTCAGAGGGGGAAGCCACCATGAGAGGCCTCTTCATCAGCCTTCTTGACTCCATAATGATGTGTGAGTAGTTCTTTCAGGACCTACGGGGCCATAGTAGTAGCTAGATGGTTTTTCTCTCACTCTTTTGGATCTTCAATACAAGGATCTCTTCTGCGATCAATCTGATGTAATTCTTTTGGTGTGTTTGTTGGGATTGGATGAATTATGGATCTATGATCATTTTTTTCATTGAATACAATTGAATCTTTTGAAGTTTCTTTGATGTGTAATTGAGTAGCTATGTATGCTTTTCCGATTTATTTGTCTTCTCTCGCCAAGATTGATGGTAATTCTTCGAGGGGTGGTGCATAGTAGTTGGTTCAATCTTGCGGCATTCTATATCTCGGTGACAGAAAGGGACAAGACACGTATTTGTATTGTTGCCACAAAGGATAAAACGATGAGGTTTAATCTTATTGCTAGATTTCTTTCTATCTACATCATGTCATATTGCATATTGCGTTACTCCATTTTCATTAAACTTAATAATGCATGCTGGATAACGATTTCGGGGTGGAATAATAGTGGTGGATTAATATGTTATTTTATATTATTTTTGGGACTAACTTATTAACCTAGAGCCTAGTGCCAGTTTCTGTTTTTTCTTTGTTTTTGAGCTTCGCAGAAAAGGAATACCAAACGGAGTCCAAACATAATAAAACCTTTGTGATGATTTTTATTGGACCAGAAGACACCCCAGAGACTTGGAGTTTAAGTCACAAGAGCCACGAGGCGGCGACAAGGGGGGGAGGGCACGCCCCCTGCCTTATGGGCCCCTCGGTGACCCCCTGACCTAGATCTTCCTCCTATATATTCAATATATTCCCAAACCACCAGAGGCATCCAAGAAAGCACTTTTCCACCGCCGCAACCTTCTGTTCCCATGAGATCCCATCTTAGGGCCTTTTCCGACATCCTGCCAGAGGGGGATTCGATCACGGAGGGCTTCTACATCAACTCTATTGCCCTTCTGATGAAGTGTGAGTAGTTTAGCTCAGACCTACGGGTCCATAGCTAGTAGCTAGATGGCTTCTTCTCTCTCTTTGATTCTCAATACCATATTCTCCTCGTTATTCTTGGAGATTGATACGTCTCCAACGTATCTACTTTTCCTAACGCTTTTCCTCTTGTTTTGGACTCTAATTTGCATGATTTGAATGAAACTAACCCTGGACTGACGTTATTTTCAGCAGAACTACCATGGTGTTGTTTTTGTGCAGAAATAAAAGTTCCCAGAATGGAATGAAACTTCGCAAAGAATTTTTATATAATAAATAAGAATTTCTGGAGCCAAGACCTGCTGGGGAGGGGTACCTGGGTGGGCACAACCCACCAGGGCACGCCCCCCTCTCCTGGCGCGCTTAGGTGGTTTGTCCCCACCTGGTGGCCCCGCAGACCCTGAAACCGACGCTATAAAACCCTATTTTTCAGAGAGAAAAAATTAGGGAGAAAGAATTATCGCGATCCACGAGACAGAACCGCCGTCACCTCATGTTCTTCATCGGGAGGCCAAATCTGAAGTCCATTTGGGGCTCCGGAGAGGGGGGAATATCCGTTCTTCATCATCACCAATCCTTCTCCATCGCCAATTCCATGATGCTTCCCACCGGGAGTGAGTAATTCCTTCATAGGCTTGCTGGTCGGTGAGGAGTTGGATGAGATTCATCATGTAATCGAGTTAGTTTTGTTAGGACTTGATCGCTAGTATCCACTATGTTCTAAGATTGATGTTGCTATGACTTTGCCATGCTTAATGCTTGTCACTTTGGGCCCGGGTGCCATGATATCAGATCTGAACCGTTTATGTTATCACCATTATATTCATGTTCTAGATCCGATCTTGCAAGTTATAGTCACCTACTATGTGTTATGATCCGGCAACCCCGGAGTGACAATAGTCGGGACCACTCCCGGTGATGATCGTAGTTTGAGGAGTTCATGTATTCACTATGTGTTAATGCTTTGTTTCGGTTCTCTATTAAAAGGAGGCCTTAATATCCCTTAGTTTCCATTAGGACCCCGCTGCCACGGGAGGGTAGGACAAAAGATGTCATGCAAGTTCTTTCCATAAGCACGTATGACTATTTACGGAATATATGCCTACATTATATTGACGAACTGGAGCTAGTGCCATATCGCCCTATGTTATAACTGT